GCCCGGCCCCGCCCGCTGATTGGCCGGCGGGCGCTCCGTCGCCACGGCAACGCCGTCCATGAGCGCGGCGCGCTGCCAATGAGAGGACGGCCGCACAAAGGCAGCCTTCGGCTCGGGTCGGGGAGGGAAGACCACGCTGCCGCCGCCGCTGGGGGGGAGGGGATAGTTTTCAGCGCCGTGTTTGCGTGGTGAGGTTGAAAACAACTCTCCGGCTAAGACCCCCTCGCTCGCGCCGCGCCGAGCCGCGCCGAGCCGCGCCGAGCCCTGCGGGGGCGGGGGTGGAGGACAAGTCAAGAGAGGGGGGCTCGGTTCCTGCCCCGGGGCTCCCGGGGGCCGCCGCAGTGACGGTGTGGGAGTCATGAGCACCGCGCCCGAACTGGCAGTGCGACTCACCGCTCAGATTAGGGTTTCACCAAATCATTGATATTTTTTCGCAGGGACTACGATTATTCTGGCTCTCTCTTTCACCCACCCACCCACCCACTCTCTCACACACACACACCTCTTAGCCAGCAGTCATCTAGCAAAATGACAAAAAATAATTGCGCTAAGCAGTATGAAAGTGTAGTTCCTACCTAGATCGAACCACTATAAAAAGTTTTCGTGTTTTGACGAAAAAAATTGTTACAAAGTGCTTCGTAAAAAATAATTTACGAAAATATTTCGTGTCAATTTATGAAACAGTTCGTAAAGTTACAAAAGTATTTCGTAACGGATGCAAATTTTTGGGTCATCATAAATCATAAAAATTGATAAAATATATACAAATTAATACCTTTTAGTTGGAGCTTTGGATTTTACAAAGCAATTCGTAAAATAACGATTTACCGTAATTGGTTAAAAACGAAGTTTTCGCAATAGAAAATTAACCGACAAAATTTCGTAAAATCACGATGATTAGTTTCACAATTGAAGTTTTGGGCGCCCTAAATGATTTTCTCCAGATGCAAAAGATTTTTCGTGGGGCTTCACACATTTATTGCCAAGCCTCAAAATCCGAAATTTCAGTGGCTAGTACGAACTAATAATTTTCTACCGGGAACATAAGTGAAACGCACGACTGAACCATCTAAAGTATGCGACGAACACACTTGGTCTTTTTTCTCAGTGCAGCACTCAGGCGCAGTCAGAGGACCTCGTGACACTCAGGACAATCGGGTTGTTTGCAGGGCACATGATGACATTGTGACTTTTTTGTGGGAATCCTTCGCCACATACAACGGCACAACGCGTCCAGAAAGTATCGGAGTCGTGACAGAATGTCGCACGCTCCGTAATGTATTTATCCGTCACCTCAGTCGGCGCCCATCAGCCCGCTCCTCCTTAATCGAACGCTTTCAGAGTAACAGCGCTGAAAGGGGAGGGGGGCAGAACAAATAATAATGAGTGTAATAATACCTTTCGACCGTGGCGCGCCGCCCGCTTGCTCGTCGTGAGCACCGGCAATTTATACTTGTTTCGAATAATTAATATCGATTCGCCCACAGCGAAGCGGTAGAGGAGAGGAGGGGGGAGGGGGCTCCCAGAGGGGCACTGCCTTTGTGAGTGAAACTGCCTGCTGGAGTGCGCAGTAAGTGTAAGTGTCTCCGTGCGCGTGTGCGTGTGCGCAGGGCACACGAGAGATTGTGTGCATGGCTGGAGGGGAAATTAACTGGCAAGGGCTGATGTCGAGGGCACACGTGTGCCCGCACGTGCGCCCAAATTAACCCCACTGCTTTGACGATCTAGAGCAGCGCGCGCCGCGCCGCCGCCAACTCGGCGGGAATGCCTCGTCACATTGTCGTGCGCCATTCAAGGTGGAGGGGGCCAGGAGCAGCAGCAGCAGCGACTGCTGTAAGGGGGGGGGAGGGGCTGCTTCACCAGCGCCCGAGGAGGAGACGAATGGGGGTGCGACGTGGTTCAGGCCAAAGGCGAGCCCCCACAAAAACGCCACGGCGCGCCACGCCACGCCACGCCAGGCAAATGGATGGGGCGGCCCGTAATGGGGTGCAGCCGTGCAGTGGACACGACTTTGGGGATGGAAATGGGGGGGGGGGGGCAATGGCACCGCCGCGGGCGGGAACACACTAACCGCCTCCGAACGGCACGACGGAGCAGCAGCGGAACTAATCCCGACCTAGGGTGTGGTGGCCTCCTCCACCCTCCTCGTTTCAGTCATCACTCTCAGCTCTGAAACGGCGGGCGCAGACTCACACCCCTGTTTAGTCCCGCTCCCCCTCTCCCGTTTCTATTTTTCGGGTAAGTGTAGCGACTTTTCGTCGTATATTGTTGTTTGTGAGCGATTGAGCTGTTGCAAACATCCCATCAGAAATTCATGATAAATGCAACAACCGTAGGAGAGACTTCGCACCTACTGTTTCAAGTTAAATATTTCACGAATATCAAAAATTCTTCATGAGAATTATTATTAATGAAGTCTTTGAGTAATATGCAAGTACTTCCCGTCCGACAGCGTTCGCTGCACGGTGCATGCATGAGCGATGGATCGTGGAAGCAGCCGAAATCCCCCCGTGGCGGCGGCATAGGGGCAGACTGGAATAAGGGGAAAAGCGGTGCAAATTGCTAGTAGATTTTTCTTTCGGTGGAGGAGATGGAGTGGGTTCTGCGGCCGCCACGGCGCGAGCAGGATAGGAGGGTAAGTCGGCCAGGAAGGGGAGAGGGGCGGCGGCGGCACCTTGGAAAGCTATATCCTGCTGTTGCCCAGCCAGACTATTTCAATCTCCGCCGCCCTGGGAAAAATAGTAAGTGGCAAGGTGGCATTAAGGTGGCAACAAGGTGGCGAGGTGGACGAAGTGGCATGTAAGGGGCAAGGAAGTGGCAACCAGGTGGAATGCGGCCGAGTGGCATAGAGGTGGCAAGCAGGTGGACCTGGGTGGCATCAAAGTGGCATCGAAGAGCCAGCCCCAGGTGGATGTTAAGGGGCATCTAGGTGGTATCGTAAGTGGCAAATAGGAGGTTAGGTGGAAAGTAACTTAGAATAAGTGGCGAGGCGTCCTGCCAAAAGCGGTCAATTGAAATGCAGAGACAATAAAAAACA